TTCTTTTGCAGGTTTGAATGTATGTTGGCTGTCCTGGAAGGGAGCTGTGTGGGGTGACCCCCAAAAGTAAAGGGTGCCTAGCTGCCAAGAGGGCAGGTGCCCAGCTGGGCAGGGAAGGGTGCCCATCAGGTTTTGGTCTCTGTTGAGAGACAGCTAACAGTTGGCAGCCTGTAATACTGTCTTGCAGACCTGAGTCACCATGCCCATGTCAGGGTTAGTAAAGCTGGAAAAAGCCTGTTTAGAATAGAAGGTCTGAGGCATGGTTATGCATAGAAAGAAGGTTTTATGCCAACAGTTACTGTTTTGTTTTAAATCCATGAAAAGGAATTAGCAAGGAAAGTCAGAAAATCTTAGAGTAGATCAGTATGTTTTTCTCCTTATGTAATTCCTCCGAAATCTGGCAATGCTAAATAAGTACGTTTCTTTGCATAGATTCAGTAAGACTGGTTCCTAATAGTGGTTTTATTAACGGAAAACTTTGACTGGAGTATCATGTTTCAAAGAGCCCTATCTGAGCTCTAAAGACTTGAAGCCAGTAAAAATGCCACGAAGAAAGCCTGGTATCCTGCTTGGGAGCCCTGAAGATGGCTGGCGCTGGAGCGTCAGGCTGATGCCCTACCATCACTGGCGGTTGGTAAGAGTAGAAGGGGAGCAGTAAAGATGCCTCTGCATCCCTGCAGAACCCCACACACTCTGGGCCGCAACAAGTAGGAGGGCTACTGAGATGGGCCTTAAAGCCTGGAGCGTGGGCTCAGGTGGAGTTGCTACAGGTGAGGGATTCACCTAACTCAGCAGATACTGCAGGCAGGCTTGATGGCAGCTGGATGGCTTGACTTCCTGGCCCTACGGGGCACATTAAGATTCAACCATGAAATTCCAGCAAAGGTAGTCAGTTACCATTCTTGTTGTGTGTATGCAAACATCAGGACAGTAGATAAATTAATCTTGATTTGGCTTTTTGATAGCCATGGAGGAATTTTAAGAAGAAAAATCCTGTTTCAATAGAAGTTGTTAAATCTAAAATGGTTTCTTTCCCTTCCACCGGGCCATTTGTTAAGCTTATAGGGATAGTTCAGTTGATAGTTCTGTGTGCCCAGTATGGGCCTCTAGCAATGGTGGAATAGAAATGCAGTCCGTCTCATGATTGAGCCGGAAGTTCCAAGACAAGGGGGGAATGAAAGGGCGAGGAGTACGCCCTCCACCTTGCCCCAGGGTAAGGGCTATGCCCTTCATCTTAACTTGGCCATGTGCTCAGCAAGCTTCTTCCCGGAAGATAGTCAAGGGAAGTGCACGCCATCACTATGACCACATCCTGTGTACTCACGCCTGGCCAATCAGCAGGGCCCACAGTCCTTTCTCCTCCCCTTACCCCAAACCCCTATAAAACCTCTCTCCACACAGAGTTCTCGCTCTCTCGGCCACTGGAGCTTACCGTTGCATCGGTGAGTGTGGCAGGGGAGCCAAACCTAGGTTTGAAATGAATGACTCTTTGCTTTTGCATCGGACTCGCTGGCTCCCTGTGGGTTCTTGGGAATCATGAAATCTGGGCACAACAAGATACCCTGGTCCATAACCAAACTCAGTGGAATTCTTGTCATAATATGCAAGATGTAGGGGCAGAGATGGAGAGGCAGAGGCTACTTTAGGTACTCATAAATAGTATCCTAAACTTGGAAGCACTGTGTATAAGGCTAAAAGGAAAAATTTATTTTCATATTTTATTCCCTCTAGAAAATACTGGTGAAGTAAATAGGAAATCATTTTGATTTCATAAGTTTCTGTGAGTTTTAAAGTAGAGTTATCATAAGCCTTTGTTTTGAACTTATCTAGGATTTATCTTAAAAAATTAACAACTTTTTAAAAACCATTTTGCCTTAAACAAAAATGAATGCTTAATTTCTGCTGGTTAATTACAAGTCAGCTATGTTTTCTTGCAATATTTTACAGCACTATCCTATTAAAAAGTGTTTTTTTTTCAAGATTGTAGTTGAGATTAAGTGTGTGTACAGAGCGTGGGGGAGTGGAGGGTAGAGGTGGGGTTGTTTAGAAAGCCAAGGTCCAGAGTAAACTGTAGGCTAATCACCTTAAGCTTCCTTATCTCTCCTTCCCAGCCTCTCCCATACACACCTTTTTCTTTTGGTGCTTTTCCTGAATTCCACTGGATGTCTAGTGTCCTTATGCTTTCCTTTGGTTGTTTTGGGCTCTAACTTTGGCAAGAGAAATCATCCAATGCTTCTGACTTTTTTTCACCTCCTTTAAATTCTCTACCTCCACCCATGTCCTATTTCATTAGGGCAGTGGTTCTCAACCTTCTGGCCCTTTAAATACAGTTCCTCATGCTGTGACCCAACTATACAATTATTTTCGTTGCTACTTCATAACTGTAATGTTGCTACTGTTATGAATCATAATGTAAATATCTGATTTGCAGGATGATCTTATGCGACCCTTGTGAAAGGGTCGTTCAACTGCCAAAGGGGTCGCGACCCACAGGTTGAGAACCACTGGGTTAGACCATTATTGATAAGAACTGAATCCGTGCTGGCTTGTTAGCTGGCAAGGTGACTAAGACTTCTGGGGAAAATACAAAGTCGACATAACAGGCCCTGGAGCAAATTGTTCACCTAAGCATTAATTTCAAATCAATAAACACGTATTGAACATCTATTATGTTATAGGCCGTGTGCTAGGTGCCAGAGTATGAAAGTGAGTAACAGGTGGTCTCCATTTTCCAAGCACTGAACTGTTTTGGGTGTATTAGGGGGAAAGAAATCCAGAACTGGCACCTCAATTCAACTAGGTTATCATTCTGTGTAACATGCTGTTCTTCTAAAGGTTTGGGATTGGAATAAATATAAAAGCATTGGTCTATTCAATAGTCTTTTGCATTGGTTCTCAACACTGGCTGCTCATTAGAGTCACCTGGGGAAGCTTTTACACTGTTTCTCAAGCTTTAGTGTGCCTCAGAATCACTGGGAAGGTTTGTTAAATCAGATAGGCCCAGCCTAGAGTTCAGGAATCAGTTTATCTGGAGTGAAGCCATATTTGCATTGCTATGAAGTTCTCAGCTGATGCTGCTGGCTGCTGGCTCCCAAGGGAGAACCACAGCTTTAAAATATAAGGACTTCCAGGTTCCATCCACAGACTGATTCAATGGATGTGGGCATGGGAACTTGGCATAGGTCATTTTACACCCCACTCCTATTCCAATGTGTATTTTGGGGGAGGAACAAACTTTCCTCTACCCTTCTACGTTCTTCTGGCTGGTCTAATAATCAAATGGACGAGAGAAATTAACAAGAGACAAATAACCAAACGTAATGACATACATATCTGTGTCTATGGGAACACCACATACACGAGCGGTTCAGAGTCAGAAAGGGAAAACGAGGTACATATGGTGTTCTGAGCTAAAATGACACCAGGCCCTTGGGGCTTCAGAGGGGAGGAAGGTCATTCGCAGCAAGATAAGCACAAATGTTTACTAATTAGATGTTTGCCCTACCCTATAGATAAGTCTTAAAACGTTAGTTCTTGTAATAACTCATTATCTGCAAGGCTCCCAATGTAGATTCTTTAAGGGAGTGGTAAACGTTTCTCCATGAGCCTCCCCCCCCTCCCCCCATAGGGTCTCCACTGCCTCAACTTAAAATAATCCACTTGCCAAAATAGCACATCTTGGTGGGGCCTGTTCTGAACCACTCAAGTAGCCAAGGCTGACAACCACTCTTCCACCAGATCCCCTATCCACTGGGGAGGCTGGTTTCCTGAAGTTACTGAACTTGGAACGCAATGAACCTACACATGCCTCTGGGTTAATTTTAATAATTATGCGGTATTTAAAGAAATTAGTATGTGACTTAATATAAAATAATTGGAAAAAACCCACCACTTTGATTTGGGTTGGAACAAATTTGGCCGCCTTCCCTTGGAAGGCCTTCCCAAACCGCCCCTGGATATTTTCCAACACCACGTTGGAAATATCTGTAAAGGGCCAGAGGTCTTCGGAGGAAAGGTCCTCAAGAAAGAAATGGGCTCCATTTATTTGAATCCCATCAGCACCCTCCTGGGCTCCCCCTGGCCTGGCCTAACACTTGTAGTTCCACGGGAGCTGGGCATGCTCAGTGGGCAGGGTCAGTGTTGGGGGGTGCAACTGGGAAGCCTGCTGCTCGACTGCGGGCTCTGCGCCTCCCCCCACCTGTTCGAGGCTGGGCCTGAGGAGCCTGTGCTCAGCATCCTCCCCCTGGGGCCTGGGCTCGGTCTTCCCGGCGGGTCCCCGCGCTGACATTCAGGCGGGGAGTCAGGAGGCCGGGCGCGCCTCCAGAGCGCGCGGGGGGAGCCGGGCCAGGGCGCTGGGCTCTGACGGGGGGTGGAGAGGTTCCCAGGGGTTCGCCCGCCTCCCAGCCGCGTTTCTAGGCCCAGGGAAGCCTGCCCGCAGAGCAGGGGAAGCCAGATTCGTGGGCTGGTGGCGAGAAATCAGGTAAGCCAACCCCGCGGGCGGGCGGGCGGGCCAGCGGGCGAGGTCTCCCCTCCCGGGCAGGTGGCAGGGCGGCTCGCCTGGTGGACAGAGGCCATCGGACACCTCCACCATCTTCCCCGGCCTAGTCCAGCCAGGCTTTCCAGTCTGGCAGCCGCCTGGCAAGGCGGGGCGGAGGGTCTGGAGTGGGGCAGGGCGAGGGCTCAAGGCAGGAACTGGAGCCTGGGACAGGGCCCATGGCAGCCGCCGCGCCGTGACCCCACCCGGCGGGCCCGGAGCCCCGGGTCCCCGTCCGATCGCGCTCATGGGGCCGCGGAGACCTCGCCAACTCGCCGCCCGCGAACCAGCGCCCGCCTCCACTTCCGCGCCTCCTCGCGGGGCCGGAGGAGCCGGGGCCCCGGGAGCCAGGCCCTCAGTGTGGGGGCCGGAGGAGCGGCCGCGCCCCCAGGCCACCCCCCGGGCGGGAGCGGGAGCGGGAGCGGGGCGGGAGGAGGAAGCGCGGCGGGCGGGGCGCGTCGGGTTACACCGGCTCGGCCCGCCCCGCCCGCCCCGGAGTGACATCCGCGCGCGCCCGGCCCCGGCGCTGACTCCGAGCGAGACCGACTCCGCCCCGGCCCGAGGAACCCGCGCTCCCGCCCCGTCTCCCCTCGCGCCGCAGGACTGGTCTCAGGTGTGTGCTTGCTGGGAGCCCCGCGCCCTCGCCCCGGCTGGCAGGGTCCCCCCCCCCCCCCCCCGCCCCGACCCGGCCCGCGCGCTGCGGCTCCTGTGTCGGGGTGGGCGGTGGCGGGAATCCGGGGACAGAGTTGTACCGTCTCCCCAACAACTGAAGGTGGACCCTTCTCATCTGGGGCTTCGCTGTTTACTTTGGGGGGCTGGGAGGTGGTGGTAATACATTCGCTTCCTTAGTTAAGTGGCGGGACTTCGCGGGGAGGGTTGGTATTCTCTCTCCCTGAAAGTTCTCCGCAAACTTTCGGCGGGTGGATGCCGCTCCCTGGTGAGGACTGGTGCTCCCTTGTGAAGCAGGAGAGGGGAGGGTTCTGGAAGGGCGCTGAGGCTTCTTTGAGGACCTTCCCTGCTGGGGGCTGGCAGTTCTGGGGAGAAGTGGAAGGCGTGGGGGCACAGATGAACTTACAGCAGCCTCCACTCCCCGAGGAGTAACTTCTACGGAGCGAGAAGAGACGTACACAGAATGCGCTGGCGGGAAGGGGCAGCTCTGAATGAGGTGCTGCTCTGGACTGCCTCCCACCGTGTATGCGGAGGGCCACTCGCTCCCTCCTTCCATACGAGTCCCCACGTCGTTTACAAACAAATTCTCCCAGTCTTCCTGGCAAGGGCCACCCAAACTACAAGCACATCATAAATACCATGAGAAGAGGCAGCTATAGGAATAGCTAGCAGCTAACTTAGTCAACTTTACTTTGTATAACTCGGTGGGGGAAGGAAGGGTAAGTTTCATCGGGTCTTTATTGCTTAGAATTCTGCCTATGCTCCAAGTTGAAGAGATGTGAAGTTTCTTTTTGGAGTGTGGAGACTAAATGGCAACTGGTGCCAAACACTTCCTGGTAGCTACTAAGCAATCTAGGGTCCCGAGTCCCACAGTTTTTGCTGGCCATTTGCTGGATGCCATTGCCCAATGGATACCATGTGTATCCTGGGGCACCTTATGATGTGTTTCTCAAAGGGGCATATGCCAAGTTTAACATTCCCTTGATTTTACAAATCAGCTCTTCAAGTAATGACCCAGTTCCTTAGTGAATAATAGATGAAAGGTGGAATTTGGGGTTTGAGAACCGACACTGACAGCTGCCCATTTTGGTATCTCACACAGTCACTTGATTTTATAAAGAAATTCTGAACAGCATTAAAGCTGTGCTTCCTTTTCTCTTCCTCTGATTATTAAAAGATGCAGTGTCCTGGCCCAGTAATTGACAGCAGGGCCACAATGCTACTACTCATCAGTGGGTCTTACATCCCACCTCTCCATTTAGTTTTTGCAGCTATTTAATCTCATTATAGATATTAAAAAAATGACTATCATTGTACAAAAATCATTTTGGTGAATTTTAAACCTCTGGTTGGTTATTTGTTTTCTGTCATTCATCACCAGCTTGCCAGTTCTGTGAGAGGACTTGATCAGCCTCACACGGTTTTGTATTTCTAATGCCTAGAGTGGGGACTAGCATGGACTAAGCCCTCAGTGGATGTTTCCTCAATGAGTGACTAAACTGTGGGACAAATTCTAGCTGAGTGTAGTTGGGGAAGAAAGCAAAGACTTTGGCATTAATCTACTTAAACTCACTGAGGCTCAATTATCTCCTTGGCGAACTGTGCATAATAACTTATGAGATAATACATGCTAGAGACGGACCTGTCAGGAAGTAGACTTAAAATATTAGCTTTCTTCCTTATATGTTTTCTTTTTACATTCATAAAGGGAAGATTTGGGCAAAGAACACAGTTAGCTAGATAATTTAGCTGTAGCATGTCATGCATGAATTATCCAGGCTCTCTCCTCTTTAATTTGGTGTGTCTGATTGGGGGTGAGGGGAGGGAAGGTGGTTAGTGGCAGCTAGGGTAGTTAGAGAAGGGAAGTAATTTCCAGATCATTATCTAACTTCTCCTGTGTTTTTTTTTTTTTTTTTAAATATGATGATGTTTTCAAAACTTGTTTCTTCCTGCTTGTCAACCAGACTCTCTAGGTTGTCCTAAGTCAGTGATGGCGAACCTATGACACGCGTGTCAGAGGTGACACGTGAACTCAATTTTTTGGTTGATTTTTCTTTGTTAAATGGCATTTAAATATATAAAATAAATATCAAAAATATAAGTCTTTGTTTTACTATGGTTGCAAATATCAGAAAATTTCTGTATCTGACACGGCACCAGAGTTAAGTTAGGGTTTTTCAACATGCTGACACGCCGAGCTCAGAAGGTTCGCACTTCAGAAAGAGCATTAGAAATCAAATGTATGTAACACTTGGCTTCTTAAATGAAGTTTTCTGTGGGCTTGTGCAGCATTATATAGTACCAAGCGCTAGGTAAAGAAAAAGTATGGTTATCCTGCTTTTGAGAAGTTCAGTTTGTTTTACAAGGTAAAATATATACATGTAAAACAACTAGAGGCCAACGAAAGACCTTGCATAATCATATACCCAGTGGTAGAATGTCAACTTAAAACTATTTAAAAATATATATTTTAATTAATTTCAGAGAGAAAGGGAGAGAGAGAGATAGAAACATCAGTGATTAGAGAGAATCATTGATCAGGTGCCTCCTGCACTTCCCACACTAGGGATGGAGCCCACAACCCGGTCATGCTCCCTGACCCGAATCAAACCAGGACCTCCTGGTTCATAGGTTGACGCTCAACTACTGAGCCAAGCCGGTCTGGCTTAGCTTGTAACTCTTGTGGTTATGGAAGGGAGATGTTAATGTGAGTTCAAGTGCTTGAGACAATTTAATGGTGAAGAGAATCTCATATTAGCAGCAGAGAGACTTAAAGTTTCCTAAAGATTACAGCAGAAAGAAAAAGATTACAGCAGATCATCTTTGTTTCAAGAATGTTTGCTATTTTGTACTTCAGTGTATCAAAATGCCAGCACCATCATCTGCTTTCAAAATGAACTATCTATGGAAAAGTATATTAGAAATCTATAGGAAAACTTTGTATGTGTACTAAATAGTAGTTTTCACTATGTCTTTGAAATTTTAAAGCCCAGGATTGGAATTGCCACTTTTAATACACGTGTGTTAGATGGCCTGTTGCTCTATCCAGTTGGGTACAATGGAGTATATAGTTTTTATCTGAAGTTTCAGGGACAATTACTAGTCATTAGGCTTGGGCCCTCCACAACTGGCTAACTTCAGGATTGTTATTTTGGGAGATAGGGAAGGACTGAATGTAAGTAAACCAAGAAGGAATTATCGAAGTGTTTTTCAATGTTTATCAAAATACTTAGGTAATTCCATTAGGACGTACCACCTCTGAGATAAGAGGAAAACTTGGAAGAAGAAACAAATAAAGTGCGTGTGGTATATTTCTTTGTTTAGAATTGTTGACAAGATGGGGGAAAGAAATGTAGAATGATGGGATTGATCTCAGGGACATTTATGGAAAAAGAAACTCGGGGAGCTAATGGTTTAAATACCTGAGGATGTTCAGATGATATTTGTAGTCAGAGTTTGTCCAGAAATCTAATTTTGTGTCCTGACATGAACTTGACTATGATTTTTTTTTGTTGGAGGGTCTTACTGGTACCTTGGTTTAAATATTTCTCCCTACATCATGTCTGTGCTCTTTTTTTTTTTTTTTTAATTTTTTTTATATGTATTTTATTGAGTTTTTACAGAGAGGAAGGGAGAGAGATAGAGAGTTAGAAACATCGATCAGCTGCCTCCTGCACATCTCCTACTGGGGATGTGCCCGCAACCCAGGTACATGCCCTTGACCGGAATCGAACCTGGGACCTTTCAGTCCGCAGGCCGACGCTCTATCCACTGAGCCAAACTGGCTTCGGCATGTCTGTGCTCTTATTTCCCATTTTTCAGTTGAGAATTTTACGTTGGTTCTTTCAAAATCAGAGTTCTGATTTATGCAGCAGACAAAACATGGTTTTTGAATTTAATTAGGTCAAGCTTTTGTCCTATTAGTTCACTAAAATTAGTGGGAAAAGCTAGTTAATTAGTGGGAAATGTTTCCCACCTAACTAATATTTTTTGTGACATATGTATTAACAAAATTTTAAAACATTATTTGGGGATGTCCATTAATTTTTCAGGCAAATTGAAATTATTACTGATTGTGATACTTTCTTTTTTAATAGATACTGTTAATGTGTGGGTATTTTTTTTTGTTCTTGTTAATCTTCACCCGAAGATATTTTTCCATTGCTTTTTAGGGAGAGTGGGAGAGAGAGGGAAAGACAGAAAGAAACATCGATGTGAGAGAAACACATCGATTGGTTGCCTCCTGCATGAGCCCCGACCAGGGCCCAGGCTGGGGAGAAGCCTGCAAATCGAGGTATGTGCCCTTCACTGGAATCGAACCCTGGACCCTTAGGTTCCCAGGCTGACGCTCTATCCACTGAGCCAAACCGGCTAGGGCAGTGGTTCTCAACCTTTCCAATGCCATCGACCCTTTAATACAGTTCCTCATGTTATGATGACCCCCAACCATAAAATTATTTTCGTTGCTACTTCATAACTGTAATGTTGCAACTGTTATGAATCGTAATGTAAATATCTGATATGCAGGATATATTTTCATTGTTACAAATTGAACATAATTAAAGCATAGTGATTAATCACAAAAACAATATGTAATTATATATGTGTTTTCCGATGGTCTTAGGTGACCGCTGTGAAAGGGTCGTTTGACCCCCCAAAGGGGTCGCGACCCACAGGTTGGCGACCCACAGGTTGAGAACCGCTGGGCTAGGGCAATGTGTGGGTATTTTTTTGAACAATTACTATCTAATTTAGATTATTTTTAGCCTCGTATTTTTAAAATAGTGATATGTCCTCTGTGGAATCTCATATTTGATCACCTGCCTATATTCTTCTGTAAAATACTATAAGATAGAGGAGAAAAGAAACCCCATAAACTAACAGAGAGTCTGTTTCCTGAAAATGAGATTTCTACAAGCTGCTACTGTCAAATGAGATAGCCTC